GAGGAAATAAGAAAGAAGGCCAAACCACCTGCCTGGGCAGCAGATGTTGAAGGAAGGAAGGCACAATGAGGATATAGGATAACATAAGAGGAATGAGAAAGGATGCGGGAAACATCCATGGCATAAATATCGGAACAACGACGACCGCAAGCAAGGAAGAAAAGGAAGACTTAAGAGAAAAATGGTACAAGGAGTGTGAGGAAATGATACAGAGCCTTACATAACTACCAAACGTTCCAGTTTGTTGAAAATGGAGAGTAGCCTCCTCGATGGACCATCAACCAGAAATCTCTTGGGATTAGAGGAAAGCCCCAACCTACCAAGGAAGTTTCGGTAAACAGATGATACAGATGGAAACCCCCCACTGTGGTCAGTTCCTTGTCGAGCCACCAAGAAAGGTCAGCCCTGATCCCTGGGGGAAGGGCAGTGGGAGGGTCCAATGGATTGTGGGAGAAATTCCATTGGTCAAGAAGCATCTACTTAAGGGAATGCATGTGTGGTTTTCCCAAGAGAATAAGAGCTTCCAAGGAAGCCCACATCCATAAAAGGAAGAGACCATTATGCAGTGAGAAAAGGAGAGAGTAGGGCCATGGAGACTGCCGGCTCCACATCCCCAAACCAAAGTGGAGAAGACTAACCCTGACAAAGATAGGAATTAATAAAAAAAACTTAATGAAATAAGATATTGAGTGGGGTTAAGAATGGACTTCTCCAATTGGATCAGAAACCCCCTACCTTATTAGCTTCCTGAAGAAGTAAGCAGGTAGAATTGACCAATGGGGCATGGGAAGAGGCAAGCAGGAGCCAATCTTCCCTCCATGAAAGGAGAGTCTGAAGACCCAACAAGTGAAAATGACAGGCAAAAGAGCACACTACTCGACAAAACACATGGAGTCAAAGAAGAACTGAACAGCAGTGCCCAGAATTGGAAGACACAACTCTCGTGGACGAACCAAAGAAAACAACGTGACACTGGAGCAGTTGGAATATAAAAATTGTCATCCAAAGTACCGGGATAAAAACCTGAAGTAAGAGGTACGACTTCATGGAGAAGAATGGTGGCTACGGATAGGAGTTCAACTGGAACTGGTCTATGATGGGTCTCCAATCTCCCGCCTTTCGAGAGACAGCAATTAAATGGGAGTAAAACCCCCGGTTGAGTGGGTGCCACCCATACAACAGCCCCTTTGTGTAGTAAGTCTTGAAAAGACGAGGCAAGATGACTAGAAGAGGTACGATCCCGGGGATGAGGGAAGGAGATCTGGGAAGTGAGTAGGAGAAGTGGAACTGAAGGCAGAAACCTTCAGACAGTACTCATAGAAACAATGAACCTATAGTGAAAATAGCCAAAAACACGTAAACGGAAAACTTAGAGAAAGTACTCAATTTATATCAAGTTTCCAATCCAGATTGTACTTTTAATATAAAAAAGTGGAGATCAAAATTCTTAATT